AACATTCATAAATGGTTCTTTTACGTTCTTATTATTGAGTCAAGAAAGAAGCTTTCTCTGGTAGTAATTCAGTGTCGATTCGGCTAAGTTTCGTTACTTGGAGAGATAGGCTCAGTGCTCTAGTGATCTTACTTTTACATGTAAACAGTCTACTATTGGGACCTTGCAACATTAAAAAACTAAAGCATTGGAGTCAAGTGAGAAAAGGAAGTAGATAAGGTTACATTTGGTGCTGTGTCTGCCAATACTTCTACTGATCAACATTCAGAACTTGCTCTTTTAAGTTTTTCTGCGTGAGTCAAAAAATACGCTTTCTCTTGTAGTAATTCAATTTTGATTTAACTTATTTTCTTTCTTGGGGAAAATAGGCTTAATGCTCTAATGATCTCTTGGACATTTACATGTAAACAATCTACTGTTAGACCTTGCAACATTCAGAAAACTATTGCATTGGAGACTAGTGGAGCAAAGCAAATGGATAAGGTTAGATTTGGTGTTGTGTCTACCAAATACTTATTCTACTATTTGACATTCATAACTGGCTTATTTATGTCGATGTGCATGAGTCAAGAAAGCAATTTCTCTTGTAGTAATTCAATTTTGATTCAACTTGTTTTCTTTCCTTAGAGAGATAGGCTCAGTGCTTTGATGATCTCTTGTACTTTTACATGTAAACAGGCGAATGGTAGACCATCTTGCAACTTTCATAAAACTAGTGGATTGGAGACTATTGGAGCAAAGCTTGGACAAGGTTAGATTTGATATTCTATTGGTGATTACCACTCAGGCCCAACTTTGATAAAATTATGTCATATGTTGCCTATTTTAATACCTCAACCTGAATTTAAGCTCTTCGTATGATGAGATTATGGATATGACGTAAATACAGATGAAACAAGGTAATCTGAATTACCTCTTTAATTAGTCCCGTGTTGCTCATAAAAATGCATCGGCTTTGTTATAGCCTCTTCTGACGATGATTCTAAGTAAGAAACAAATTTGACGTTGGTGCATGAATAAGATAATATGTTCCTTGTTGCCTTTCAAAGTCGGCTCGGTTTTACTGGAAAAATGGGTACATGAAATGAGGTCATCTTAGTTACCTCTTTAACAGTCGCATCTTGAATATTCAAATGCCTCTTCAAGGTTTAAGACTCTTTTTTATGATGATTTTATGTATAATGTTGGTGCATACAAAAACCAGTCCCGTATTACTTATACAAATGTCGCGGTTCGGTTCAGAATCTTATAACAATGAGTCTTTAAATCATAAACATTATTTATGGTGGTGAATGAATGAGATATTATGTCCCGTGTTGACTATAAAAATGCTTCGCCTCGGTTTTAGACTCTTGTTATGATGAGTCTCTAAATCTGAAAAACAGATTGATGATGGTGCAAGAATGAGAAATTGTGTCCCATGTTGCCTTTAATAGTCATGTGTTGAAGAAATTATGTCCCCTATTGCCTTTAACAGTCATGCATAGATGAAATGAGGTATTCTCAATTACCACTTTAATAGTCATATGTTGACCATACAAATGCCTTGGCTCGGTTTTAGACTTTTCTAACGATGAGACTAAATCGGAGAGAGATTGATGGTGGTGCAAGAATGAGAAATGATTTCCCATGTTGCCTTTTCAAATGCCTTAGAATAGTGTACTACCTCACCGACGGTTTCCATGCCGAAAATATGTAGAACGTGCATTTGGAGTCTTACAAGCTCGATTTGAAATAGTGAAGAATCCGCGCTGTTTTGGATAATAAAAATATCGGAAAGATAATGAGAGCATGTATCATATTGCACAATATGATTGTGGAAGACGAACGACATGAATACAGTTTCTACGATCAATCGGGGTTCTATCAGGGAGAAGGAAGCGGAACTTCTCATGTGAATGTATCGTTTTGAACAGATATGCCAACGTATCTCACTAATATGATGGGCAGTCTAAAGGACGTTCGTGATATGAAAATGCATGAACATATGAAAAAGACTTTGTTGAGCATATCATACAAGTTCGTTTCTTGTCTCGTATTCTGTTTACTCTATTGTAGTTATCTTTTTCAACTTTATAAATATGTTTTTAATTTCTGAATTATGTGAAATATTTTTCTTTATTTTTAATGTAATATGTGTAATTGAAATTCGTGTATTGTTAATTTTGATTATTTACTAATTTATTTAAATTTGATATAAATTTGACATAAATATATTATATTAATGATTAAGTACTTTTGGTAAGAGTTTTTTAGTGGAAGGACAATTTTGTTTAAAAATTTTAATGAGTTGATTTGATTAGTTTAATGTTAATTATATTAGCAGTTTAATTTTGAGTGTCTTACATGTGGTACTCTAGTGGAAATGGTCTAAATCTACTAATTATTTAGTAAACGTTGATTGGATTTGGGACCACATCCTAAACTATCATTGGTTTAGTGGTGTGATATGTTTAGATACAAAATGGCTTGAATTCGGTAACTGATAAATAACTATTTCATTTTTTTAGTTTAGTTATTTTTTAGTGTTTCAGTAGCATCATTTTTACGTAATATATACTACAATAAAAAAAACAACAAAAAAAATTAATCATATATATAAAAGTAAGGTTTCACTCTCTCTTTATTAGTCCATTTGATATTTATTTTTAAATAAACCAAAACTGCAACACAATTAATCATATACATTAATGGGGGAATTTCAAAAATACCCCTTTTCATATACCTCTTTTTAAAAATACCCCTTTTTCAAACTTTATCAAAAAAACCACTAAAAATGTTGAAATTTATCCAAATATGTGTGTAAACTTATAAATATGTACGCAAATTACCTTTATATATGTATAAAACTTTATATACCTTTAATAAATAGCGTAAAAATAAATTATAAAAACCTTATAAAAACCTTATAAACCCCGTATAAACCCTTTTAAAAACCTTTTAAAAAGCTTATAAAACTTATAAAAACGATTTAAAACTATTTAAAACATTTTAAAACATTTGTATCGAATCTTCCAGTAGTAGTTATTATATAGAAGTACCTTATAAACTATATAAAACTTTATAATTTTTAATATTTAAAAAGGGGTATTTTTGAAAATGGATAGATAAAGGGGGTATTTTTAAAAAGGGGTACACCAAAAGGGGTATTTCTCAAAAATTCTCTACATTAATTCATACTTTAAATCTACATTTTACTACTAAAATTATAACTGAAATTACATAAACTGTGAATTGAATATTTGTTTTTTCCATCCAATTTCAATTAACACACAATAAATTATAATATAACTCATCTAATTCAATTATTTTAGAAATGTAACTTACATCACTTCATAGCCTATAAAAATCATTCTCACATCATCCTCCACCATATCTCATATACTAAATATTTTCTTTGTTTTTTCTTTAATGTTCTTGGCTTCTTGCATGGGTTGAAGATTCAAGGGGGAATTTCAAAAATACCAATTTCCATACTGCTTTTTAAAAATACCCCTCTTTCTATTTTTATCAAAAAGTCACTATAAATTTTCAAATTTATCGAAACAAATATGTGTAAACTTATATTTATAGACACATATTTTTCTTTATGTGTATGTAAACTTATATATATATATTTAATAAATACCGTATAAATACCTTTTAAAAACCTTTTAAAAATTATTCAAAAACCTTTTAAAAACTTTGTAAACCTTTTAAAATCTTATAAAATACTTATAAATGCCGTTTAAAATCGTTTAAAACTTTATAAATATTTGGATTAGTCTCCCAGTAGTAATGATGATATTGATTTACATTATCAACCATATAAAACTTTATAATTTTTCATATTTGAAAAGGGGTATTTTTAAAAATGGATAGAAAAGAAGAATATTTTTAAAAAGGGGTACACCAAAAGGGGCATTTCTCAAAAGTTCTCAAGATTCAATTAAGATATCATTGTAAGAGATTGATTATATATTTGGTTTTACTATATTTTACTTTTTCCAAATTTATTTCTTCTTTGGTTTTTATGTACTTTTTCCTTTCTCCATTTTTTCTTATATTTTTGAATGTATATAATACATATGTATAATAATAATTTATGGCTATAATAATATTATTTTATCAATGGAGATTCGAAAATATTGTCCTTACTATCGTACAATAAGAAAATCAAGCTAAATATACATGTATATTTATTTTATTCAAAAAGTATGTATTTTTTTGGCAAAAGAACTTTTTTATATAATTATCAAACCAATTTGTAAGACATTCTTTTAAAGATAATGATCATTATATTTTGCTTGTGATTAAAATTTTAGTAATATAAATAACATTATGATTTTTACTTGATTTAATATCTAAAAAATTTTTGATATTCAGTTTTTAATCTATTATACTACAAGGATAAAAAATTATAACTAAACCTAGAGATATAACTTAAATTAATAGGAAACTAAAAAGAGATTAAAAATAAAAATTTTCTTTGGGATTTTCTCAAAAGCTTTTGATTGCACTTCATATGATTTTATAGGAAATATATAATTTGTTACTTTCAACATAGTTTAGATTTAATTACTAAATAATTTAGGTTATGTGTGAGTTGATATGAAAAAAAAAACATTTAAAATCATAGTAAATTTATATTTTTATCATTAGCAATATTATTGTTTTACGTAAAAATGCTCAAAAGTACTGGAGAAAATTACTATAAGAACTGAACAATAAATCAACGACTAAATTCAATAGATATCGATGTATGCTTCTATTGTATATATGACTTAAATACATAAAGTGAAAAAAAAATATCATTGATATTAAAATTATTTATTCTATTTCTTTATAATTATTAAACAAATTTAAACTATTAACTTAATATACAACAACCTGCGCATGCGCGGGATATTACCTAGTATTAACTTCAAAACAAAGATATATTACTCAAAAAAGAAAGTTTATGTTGGACAATCCATGCATGATGCATAAAACCAAACCGTGAACGGAGTCTTGTTCTTTACGTAACATCTAATGGTGAAACTTTTGAGAACTCACCAAAACCGATCTTTATTGACACTTAGATAACCAGACATGACTTTGCCACCAGTATTCCTCATACCGTCAATAAGGAAACACCAAGTGGAACCCAATGCTCCGACATAGAAGTCAGCTTCCGATGCCATTAAGAAGTTAACAAGAGGATAGTTCGTACTTATCTCTCTCCCAAGGCTCGCTTCATACTCAGCCATCGACTTATTACCAACTTGTCTCGCAACTTCCGTGTAATAAAATCTCCAACGCCCATAACCTTTACTTCTGTCCACAACTTCCTTCATCTCCGTAGACAGCCATATTCTCTTAAGATCCGGAAACCGATCCTTTATCCGATCAGCCAAACGCATATACTCTTCTAAAGCCGCGACTCTCATTTCGCGCGCTTTGTCTCCCATCCGAACATGAACGCTAAGTATTGGCCTTGGAATCCACGGTTTGTGATTCGACCATACTTGTTCCTCAATCTCTGTCCTAATCTTCCTCTTCTTGTTTTTTCTCCAATCTCTACCTGATAAAACAATCTCAGCAGCCTCTTTTCCAAATGCGGTGTTTCGAGCAATGTTCATTAAATTGCACGTGTATTCCGTTTGAAATCTCATCAAGTATCTCACAGCCTGTGCTCTCCACCATCTCCGATCCATTTTTCGGTGAGTGGAGATTAAACTTCCGTTTATTTCTGTAGTAGGTTTCATATAACTCCAAGGCTTACCCCATAGCTTTGGTATAGGTCCAGCCCATATCAACTTTGAGCTGTAGTTTTGTTTACTCGTAACAATCCCACTCTCCCAAGCTTCTTTATCCCTCACAACCGCAAACGCACGTTTTCGACACTCTTCTGACGTTTCCGGTAGAAAATAGCAAGACCAGCTTCCACGAGAAGAACCTGAAACCAAACAAAGAAGTTCATACTCAACACATTTTGTTCCTTTCCGTACGTGTAATAGTCAAAAACAATGATACCATTTTTTTTTCTTAAACTAAAAAGTACTAAGCATAGGTCTGTACATTTTCTCAAACGCGAAACTAACACATGTTATATGATCAAATCCCAAGAGTCGTTCGACTTCTACCTAAAATCTTTACAAGTTGAGCTATTGACTTTTGGTAAAAAAAAAATAACAACACAAGTACACAACATTGAGACTTTTCCACGTACTAACAAAGAAAATGTAGTCCATCATGATAATATTATATTATACATATATAGTTACAGGTGCACCTAGCGCCTAACTAGAAAATCGTAATAAAGCATACTGGAGAAGAAAGAAAACATTGTGTACCTTTGCAACCATTATGATCTGCTCGGTTATAGTAGTTTGCAACAAGAATGCGGTTTTCGTTTATAGCAATTGCAAGCAGTCCGGTCATTTCAGTGATCTGGGCTCCGGATCCATAAATATGAAGTGTTTCCCAATCAGCTACAAGGAACTTGAGTTTCGTGTTTTCGCAGTCCGAATGATGCTGATGAATCCATAAATCACTTTGAACTCTTCTAGTTAACGGATAGTTCTCTTCGTCTCCTCCATTGATCTGATATATAAGACACTACAATTTAATCAGCCATCATACTAATTACTGGATAAAAAGAAGAAGACGAAGAAGAAGCAGATACCCAAGTAGGAAACGTCTGATTAGCTATACGTTTATCTAAACGCTCCCTAACTCGTGACATCTCCTCACAATTCTCCAAATGTATAGCGTTTGGTACATCAGATTTATTCACGCCTAGTTTCTTCAAGAAGTCTTCATTGTTTAGTAATAAATTGTCCCAAGCAGAAACCAAAAGGTTTACTTCATCATCATTATCTTCCGTATTAGCTTTGTTATTCCATTTCAGTTTGTGGTCTATGCTTGAAACCATATCTGCATTTATATACAATTTTTATTACACTAAGAAAAAACACAATAACAAGTTACCAAACATTTTTGTAAGACTTACTGATGATGTGAGTAGTGGAATTAGAGGGAAGAAAAGTAGAGGATGAGGAAGAGAAAGAGAAGGCGGCGAGTTCAAAGGTTCCAAGAGAAGTGAAAGCAGTTAAGAAAAGTGAAGTGAGACAGATTCCACATAGAAACCCAATTATACAAATTTGACATGGAAATGAGTTTCCAAGCTTTAATGCTTTCCCTGAAATCAATCTCTCCAATGTCTTCATCTCATACTATACTCTATTTTCTAGCTTAGAAAGTAAGAAGTAAGAAGTAAGAATCAAACCTACTTGTAGGAGATATAACATAACTATGGAGATATTAAAGAAGAGGAGACCATTAGTGTTGATCATATCTAAACTCAAAATACTTTAAAACATGTGGGAAAAAAGAACAGTAATAATCTTTTTAAAATTTGGGAAAATGTGAAATTTTGATTAATATAAACGACACTTGGGTCAAAAAGAAAGATAGAACAAATTAAAAGCCTGCTTACCAGCTTGTCTGAAAACAAGAGAGAATCAAAACACAAATCCACTCGACATTTTTTTAATTATATTTTTGTTGAAGTTATCAAAAAAAGTGACTAATTCAAGAAACCTAGAAATAAACGTTAATGAACTAATTAATCAAAGTGGGAAGCTCATTTTCTTAGGACATAGCCCTGACAAGTGAGAGTTTCATATGATAGAGGTTTTGACATGTTGTGTTTTGTTAAAAGATTAATATATTATCATCATGTGGACTATTACTAAACTACTTTTTAAAGGACTAATGACAATGAATTGTTATTAATTGACCAAACCTCAAAACTTATAATACAAAACATAGAATCGCTTCCGGCGATCAAGCATAACACCTATCAAATTCAGTATGATAAGTACCTTATGGCGAAGAATATGATCAAAAAAAATATTTTCAATGTGAAATACTTCTGCATGTCTGATTTTGCACACCAAACGAGGTTAATGCTCATACATAGCATTACAGTTTGATGTACACACAACCACATTGTAACATGTAACGTAGAAAGTAAGGTGAGTATAATATAGCATTTGGGATGAAACCGTATAACATGATCTTGTTTCAGGCTTGAAGGGTTGTATGGGTTTTGGCTCAGAAAATCATAGAAAAAGCAGATGAGTACAATGCTAATCTAACGGTTTGGTTTTTATTTATTGTTTGGTTTGACTATGCCAGTCTCATGTTTCTTCATTTTGTAATTATTTTGTCTCCACTTTAGGTAGCCCAATATGATTAAAAATATATATATATATATATATAATTTGTAAATATAATTTAATAAAAATAGAATAATTTGTTTCGGTTCGGAATCGCTTAATTTTTTTTATTTTTTTTTAGTTCTCAAGTTTACTATCTGTTCGGTTATTATATTGGGTTCTGTTCAGTTTGGTTCCTCTTTTTTTCGATTCGGTTTTGGTTCGATATTTTCGGTTCAGTTATTATATTGGTTTTGGTTAAGTTCGTTTCTTCCTTTTTTAGTTTGTTTTCGATTCAATATTTTTGGTTTGATTGTTTTTCCCGGGATACATACGTTTCGAACCTACTTATAAACAACTATAAATCTACAAGTTTTCTAAGATCTAAACAGATATATATATATACTAGTTGTTGATCCGCGCTGCGCGCGGGAGCTTTATAAAATTTTTCTTTTATTTTTAGTTATATTATAATTTTTCGTTGATTTTTTTTTTGTTTTTCATTGTTTGTTTTGTTGGCTTTTTACTGTTGTTATTTTTTGTTATTCTATTTTTCATATCGATTATTTTTTCAATTTTATAGTAATTTAGTATTTGAAATGTTTATCATCATTTGGTATTCGTCAGAGGTCGATGAAAAGTTTATGCGGCATTCTCTCTTTTTACTAAGTATGTGATTAGAGAGATAAAGTTTTCGGTGTCTGGGTTTGATTCATTCTAGGATCTGGCTTGTTTCCCGTTTTTTCCTACGTTCGAATCTATGTATTCTGGCCAATGATTTTGAAATCGGTATCGTTGTTGCAAATTTGTCGTTCTTGTAAACGATTGTTATAGAAAATGTTTTCCATGTTCCGTTTAATCATCCAGTTCAAACTCGTGTATCCCACGTTTTTCTAATTTTTTTAACCGGTTTGATTGTTATGTGTTGGACCTCAGGCCCTTGCTTTTTTAGATTTTGTATTTTGATTGTTGTGAAAGTGTTGGACCTAAACCCATATTCTTTTGGATTTAGTAAAAAGAAAAATGATGATATGGTGGAGTATGTGGCGCTGACGTGACGGAAGGAGAATAGAGGAAAAGTAACTTTATATATATATATATATATTTATTTAAATTTCAATATTTTGTTCCATTTTTATCAGTGCCTGAAGAATATACTAAATGAAATTATCCCATGAATATTATACGATATTTAATCGTTTATGATATCATACATACTTCATTTTGCCAAACCAACATGTATTTTGGTCAGAAAGTTATGGAAGAACTAATTTTTCAAACGTATAACAACTATCATGTAAAAATATAAAAACTAAGTTACGTATTAAACAGAAATGGTTACAAAAGTAAAACAAAGTACCAAAAGAAAGCAAAAAGAGAAATCATTAACATTATTATTCCGTGTTCTATACTAAACTTTAAAACCAAGTCACTTCTACTTTTTTCATGTCACATATACGAATCGTAGTTAATTGCTTCACCAAACAACAACATTTATAATTAAAACATTACTTTTTTTAATCACATGACAACAAAACACAACCATGCATGCTCACATCAAACTCTCTCACTTGCCACTTCTTTGTCCTAAAAGAATCTAAAAACAAATGTCGATAGATTGATAAATCTCTCTAAGTGGATTCTTGGCTTGAACCAAGTGACTTTGTCTTATGATTCTCTGCCTCATTTTCAGACCAGCTGGTATAAAAAGCTTTTTCTTCTCTTTTTTCTTTTTTATCCAAGTGTCATATTAACATCGAAATCCATAATTCTTTAATTAAACAAAAAAAGATTTTATACAATACAAAATGTTTTTTGAAAAAATACAAATGAGGTTTAGATACTATCAACGGTTATGCTCTTCTCTCCTTTATTATCTCCATAATTATGTGACAAATCCGTTTCATGGGTTTCTCCTCCCTCTTCTTCTCTTCTCTTCTCTTCTATTCATTTTGTGCTTATTCAGCTGCAAAAAAAAATCAAATAAATATAATAAAGGTTCATCAGATTTCTTTTTTCTTAATTACGTTTGGTTTGATCTTGGCTATATTGAGAATTCTAATTAAATTTTTCTTTCTTATTTTTTTTTTGTTGCAGCTTACTGAAAAAATGGACCACTGATGAAGGAAACAAATGTATTTCGATCGAAGCATCTTTATAATTTTATCTTAGAAAAGAAACAAAAAGTGTAGAGAAATATCATGTGAGTTTTGGTTGATAGGTTTGGTAAAGTGTTTCTTTTGGTTCTTTTAGTGAGCAATAATAGAGAAAATCTAGAGTTGTGACTTGTGAGCAATGAAGTCATTAGAAAGATTGGTTTCAGAGAAAGCATTAAAGCTTGGAAACTCATTTCCATGTCAAATCTGTGTAGTTGGGTTTCTATGTGGAATCTGTCTCACTTCACTTTTCTTAGCTGCTCTTACTTCTCTTGGAACCTTTGAATTCGCCTCCTTCTCCTCTGCTTTTCCTCCTTGCAACTCCTCCACATCTCACATCATCAGTAAGTTTTATACAAAAGATTTGGATCTTATTTTGGTAATTTGTTGTGTTTTTGTTTTCATGTAATGATAGCTTTTGCTTATATGTTAGATATGGTTGCAAGTATAGACCGTACATTGAAATTGAAGACCAAAGCTGAGGTAGAAGATGGTGATGATGTGAAGCTTTTGGTCTCTGCTTGGGATAATTTATTACTTAAAGAAGAAGACTTCTTTAAGAAGTTAGGGATGAATAAATCTCTTGTACCAAACGCTCCACATATGGAGAATTGTGAGGAGAGGGCGCGAGTTAGGCAGCGATTAGATACAGAGATATCGAATCTAACGTTACCTTCTTGGGTATGCTTCTTTCTTCTTCTTGTTTATTTGTTGTCGTCAAGGAGAGTAAACAATCATAAGCTTTGTTTTTAGATCAATGGAGGGGATGAAGAGAACTATCCATTGACTAGGAAAGTGCAACGAGATATATGGATTCATCAGCATCCTTTGGATTGTGGAAACAAGAGTGTTAAGTTCCTTGTAGCTGATTGGGAAACACTTCCTGGTTTTGGAATTGGAGCTCAGATTGCGGGAATGACTGGACTTCTCGCAATCGCTATAAACGAAAACCGAGTGCTTGTTACAAAGTACTATAATAGAGCAGATCACAACGGTTGCAAAGGTACACAAAGTCTATAGCCGTGTATATAAGCACCAAATTTTGGGTTTGATTTTGGTGTTACTCTTTGTATGGATGCAGGATCATCCCGTGGAAGCTGGTCTTGCTATTTTCTACCGGAAACATCACAAGAGTGTCGAAAACGAGCGTTTGCGATTGCGAAAAACAGAGAAGCGTGGGAGAATGGGATTGTCACAGGGAAACAAAACTACAGCACAAAGGAGATTTGGGCAGGGCCTATACCAAAGCTATGGGGTAAGGCTTGGAGTTATATGAAACCCACGACAGAAATAAACGGAAGTTTAGTTTCCAGTCACCGGAAAATGGATAGGAGATGGTGGAGAGCACAAGCAGTGAGATACTTGATGAGATTTCAAACAGAATACACTTGTGGTTTAATGAACGCTGCTCGACACTCTGCGTTTGGTCAAGAAGCTGCCAAGATTATTCTGTCTAGAGGAGATTGGAGAAAGAAGAAGATGACAAGAACAGAGATTGAGGAACAGGTGTGGTCTGATCACAAGCCGTGGATTCCAAGGCCAATGCTGAGCGTTCACGTGCGGATGGGAGACAAAGCGTGCGAGATGAGAGTTGCAGCTTTAGAAGAGTATATGCGGTTAGCTGATCGGATCAGAGATCGGTTTCCAGAACTCAACAAGATTTGGCTCTCTACAGAGATGAAAGAAGTTGTGGACAGAAGTAAAGATTATACTAACTGGAGATTTTATTACACAAAAGTGGCGAGACAAGTCGGTAATAAATCAATGGCTGAGTATGAAGCAAGCCTTGGTAGAGAGATGAGCACGAACTATCCTTTGGTTAACTTCTTAATGGCGTCAGACGCTGATTTCTTCGTCGGGGCATTGGGTTCCACTTGGTGTTTCCTCATCGATGGTATGAGGAACACTGGTGGAAAGGTCATGTCTGGTTATCTTAGTGTTAATAAAGACAGGTTCTGGTAACTTTACAGTTCCGCTTTGTACAGAAGATGACTCTTCTCCTTATTTTTGAGTCTTTTTGTATAAAGAGTTGTCAGTATAATAAAGGAAGGCTTAGTAATAAATAGTACACAAACAGTTCAGAGTTATATGCTAAGCTCTAACGATTTATCTTTTTCTGCAAGTATGAAATACAAAAAGTCCTCATAAACCCTATCTTCCCTTCAACTTTGCTAGTGAACTTCCTAGCAACGTGAGAACCAATGCATTACTTCTATAGTTCTTAAACGGAAGTAAATATAATCTCAAGTAGTAGGCATTAAAAAATCAATCAAAAAGATCAAGCTTTTTAGACAGAACATGGGAGAATATTCTGTCGACAATTCGGTAAGTGAGTGCATGGTTTCCATATCTCATAAGATTTTCTTTGTTAATCAAGAAATCGTGATCCGTATTCAGCTACTAGAATTTGCAGTATATGACATAGAAATGCTCATATGAGAAGTATCTAGTTGCCAAAGTAAATAGAAAATTGTTGATGTCAAATAAATAGAAACAAAACCAGATATACAACAATAGGATAGAGTCCAGTGGAGCCGGAAAATTTAGTTGAGCATGATTATTGGTAGACTCTTAAGATTAGTTCTTAAGCATATTTTAGTATTAAAATTTTAAGTGTTAAGAGATTGTATTTTTGTTTTTTGTTTTTTGTGTGTTTATTGGTAGGCTCTTAACTTGTAGTTATTAGGAAAAAATATTTATTCAAAAATGAAATGAAATAAAAATATTTAATCTTTTAATTTTATAAAACAGAAAAATTATTGTAAATTAAATTTTTTAAATATACATGAGATACAAATTATAAATTTATAACATAAATAACATAAAGCACAATAATTTTAGTGTTGATTTCTAGAATTTTTTTCCACGTATGCTCGACCAATTCTTTCTTCAATTGTTGATGCCATTTTCTCTGTAGAAAATACAAGAATTTTTTTCTTGAGTAACTAAAAGATTTGGTTTGACTTTGGTTAGAGAATAAAAATTGGTGTGAAAATAAAATATGAAGGCTTATTCTTAAAAGAGAATGACTAAAAGGAAGGTTTGGATTTTTTTTGTATTAATTAAGTTTGTAAAACAAAATAGAATGAGATACATATTTTGTTGAGCAATACTTGGGTTCACCCCCTATTGATTAGCCAATCAAAATAAAACAATATGTCATATCATATTATATTTAAAAAAAATAAAAAATATAACAAACCTTAACCACTATTTTATAAACCCAAAACAAAATATAATTTCGCTTAATTACAAAATCTAAATCCTAACCACTATTTTATAAACCCAAACAAAAATATAATTTCGTCTAATTACAAAATCTAAACCCTAACCACTATTTTATCAACCCAAACCAAAATATAATTTCGTTTAATTACAAAATCTAAACCCTAACCACTATTTTGTCAACCCAAACCGAAATACAATTTTGTTTGATTACAAAATCTAAACCCTGGCCACTAATTTGTCAACCCAAACCGAAAAATAATTTCGTTTAATTACAAAATCTAAACCCTAACCACTAATTTGTCAACCCAAACCGAAATATAATTTTGTTTAGTTACAAAATCTAAACCTTAACCACTATTTTATAAACCCAAATCAAACTATATTTCTTTAATCAAAATCCTACATAATTTGTTTCCATAATTTGATTTGTATAATGTTGGTGCATAAAAAAACCAGTCCCGTATTACTTATACAAATGTCTCGTTTTGTTTCTGACTCTTATAACAATTAGTCTCTCAATCATAAACAGAATTGTTGTGGTGGTGCATGAAGGAGATATTATGTCCCGTGTTGACCATAACAATGCCTCGGCTCGGTTTTAGACTCTTTTTATGATGAGTCTCGTGTTGCTTTTTCAAATGCCTCGACTCGGTTTTAGACTCTTCTCATGATGAATTTTTGGATATGAAATGTGTAGATGAAATGAGGTAATCTTAGTTACCTCTTTAACAGTCCCATGTTGACCATAGATATGCCTCGGCTCGGTATTAGGCTTTTTAACGATGAGTCTTTAAATCGAAAACAAATTGATCATGGTGGTGCAAGAATGAGAAATTATGTCACGTGTTTCCTTTTCAAATGTTTCATCCCAGTTTTAGACTCTTCTCATGATGAGTTTTTGGATAAGAAATGGGTAGATGAAATGAGGTAATCTCAATTACCTTTTTAACAGTCCCGTGTTGACCACAAAGAGAGCCAACTCAAGGTCGCAATAAGAAGGAAAAAGAAAGAAGGGGAAGAATCAGTCTCCCAAAAAGAAGTTGAAAGTAAAGGGAATACAAGGGAGTGAGTCTCCGAATAAGAAAACAAAGCTCTCAAGACAAGATCGAATAATGCACTGTGGTCGGTGTGGTTTATCAGGACACAACACATAATCTTGTAAAAATACTGGTGTACAAATCAGAATGCCTCAGAAGAAACATATGGGAGTTGGTGAGTCCCAGAGCCAGTCAAGCCAAGTAAACCAAACGTCACAGGTTTTAATTAGTTTGGTAATAACCTTACTTTATAAATTTATGTGGTTTGGTAGCAAGCTTACGTTGTCTTTTTTTAAAATCATAAATTTGCAAGATATGTTTGAGTGAGGATTCAAGGCTGTGGCTTCTAGTGGTTTGGTGTTTTTCAAGAATTACTTGGTTTTCTCGGAATTTAGTAGTTGGTTTTTGTAGTGTCTCTTAAATTTTAGAATGATAAAAAATGTTTCTTGGATTTTAAGAATTTCTTTTGTTGTAGTTTAAGAATTTTCTCGAAGTTTCATAATTAGTTCACTTCATAACTCAAATTGAAGAAGCGGATGATGCCATTGTTGAAAAAGGAGACATTTTTATATTTAGAGCAAAACGACATCATTTAATTTTGGAACAGAATTTAGATGATTGGATTACAGCTTAAACATGTCATTAATGACATGGCCTCCACATCACCTACGGTAAACGGGATCTTAACGACGTCTTGTGTATGTATGATCATGCACGAAACAATAACATTAGTATATTTGAGTATTTAATTAGTTTAGGTATTTATTTGCACGTAGGTAGAGTTAAGGTATGCATTGAACATACTTATTGAGTTGGGGTATGAATATTACGTTTTCCGCTTTTATGAAGTAAAACACACTTTTATGAAGATCTTTGTTCTCTTGTTTTCTTTATTAGTTGGAGTAACTTTGGGAGCATTGTAGTATAATGGAGATTCAGTAATAGTTGATAACATTTTGAAGAAGATTTGAAATCAATAGAATTAATTACTTGATATAGCTCTCCTTGTGAGCATTGGATGAAGCTATATACGGACGGAGCTTCTCACGGTAACTCGGGGTTGGCTATGGCGGGGGGCGTTCTGCGTGATAATACTGGTAGGTGGTGTGGTGGTTTTGCCCTTAATATTGGTTTATGTTCGGCGTCAGTAGCGAAGTTGTGGGGTATTTATTACGGGCTTGTTACTGCGTGGGAGAAAAAATTGAGGCGAGTGGAGGTGGAGGTGGACTCGAATTTGGTGGTGGGTTTCTTAATGACGGGGATCAGCATGTCTTATCTTTTATCTTTCTTGGTACGGTTGTGGCATGGTTTCTTAACTAGGGACTGGATAGTCCGGATTTCTCATGTGTATGGAGAAGCAAACCGTTTTGAAGATGGTTTAGCTAACTATGCAATTAATTTACCTTTAGGTTTCCATACGTTAGAAGTAGCCCCAGACATTGTGGACTCGATTGTTGTTGAGGATATAGTCGTAGAACTACGTTTCCAAGACGTATCCGTTTGTAATTTTCTTTTAGTTTATGAATAAATCGCAAGGAGACAATGTCTTCTTGTTCTCAACAAAAAAAAATGATTTTTATTCTTAGCTTACACATCAAAGCAAACATTATAGTAATATGTGTTAAATCGTTTTCCATCCAAACTTCTATTCAACTTAATCTATAAACTAATACTATAGTAGTTGCTTGATAGTGGATTAGTGTGTTTACTTTTAAGACACCTCATGTAAGTTGTTTGCATCACTTTCATTCTCTGAATATGTTTATATATGTTGTGCCATCTTTCTGCCAGATTCATGTTTGCCATTTTCACGTTTTCTTTTACCTATAATCTCTGGTTTTTCGGCCTCTTCTCTTCTTTACAGCTACTTCCTCACTGTCCACATCCCCTTCAGCATCTAAATCATAATTATTTTCCATGCTTACCTCCTTAGATTGTGTGCTCTTCACATAGTTATGTACTTCTTTTCCAGCAAACTCAGTCCAACGTTTAGGAGCATCAGATATTCCTAATACCTACAAAGTCAATAAAACAATCACTACAATGAATATAGGTGCTCTTAGCACACCGAAAACACTATACTATAGATAACATGGTGATTTCATAAACGTTGTGTTTGCCGGAGCCATTTTAGGGTGATCAGAAACAATAGCGTTTAGAGGCTATATAAGGACATGTCTCCTAGTATACCCAAGAGGTTACAAAATCATATTAATGTGCTTACTTCAACCTATACCTTTTTAATGAAATTTTGGAAGGGATCAAGAGACTACATCTCTAATTGGAGATCTTCCTCTAAAATTCGACGAAGTGAGGCCATCATAGTTTTCCTGAAAAATTAAGCTAGCCATAACTACCCAAAAAAGTTCATCGTCATAAGCCAAGAGAGAGAAACTTATAACTGAAATTTCTTAATTGTATTCCTTAACTCACTCTGCATTAGCTTTAATATACCAAGATCTTTCTGTAAGGTTCCTTATATCTCTCTACAAAACTTTTTTTTATTTCCCTTGCCCTTCCTATCTTTAGCTACTCTCTTAGATATGTTATCTTCTATCAGAAAAACCATCGCATGGGATTTTCTCATTTCCTCATCACAACTAGTATGCCCCTAACCTCGTTCTTTTATCCCTGCTCTTCAGAAATTCCTCTCGGTTTCTTGAGGATTTTTGGAAGCATCATTATCACCAGCTTCTTCTACGCACTGTCATCAACAAAGACACATTAGTATTCAAAGGTGCATTGACATGAGAGGTTCATGTATCTTTCTCTTTATAATAACCATTTGACCTCTCATGTCAGTGTCACCTTTGAATATTATTGTGTCTTTGATGATGGCAGTGCTTAGAAGAAGCTGGTGATGATGATGCTTCCAAAATTGAACAAGGATAGGGACGATAATGGTTGTTATGAGGAATGCTCCCGTGCGATGGTTATTTTGACAGATGAGAACAAATCCAAGTGAGTAGCTAAGATATGAAGGACAAGGGAAATAAATAAATCATGCAAAGTGATATAAAGAGTGCCCTTAGAGAAAGATCTTCATATATTAAGGCTAATGTAGAGTAAGTTAATGGTTGCAATTAATGAATTTTGGTTAAAGGTTTCCTCTTTCATGGCTTATGAAGATGGACTTTTCTGTTTAGTAATGGCTTGCTTTATTTTTAGGACAACTACGATGGCTTCACTTCATCGAATTTTAGAGGAAGATCTCCAATTCGAGATGCAGTCTCTTAACCCCTTCAAGAATTTCATTAACAAAGTACTAAATGAAGTGACTACTTTTATTTGATTATGTAACCTCTTGGTTATACTGGGAGACAAGTCCTTATATTTTTTTATTGGATTATTAGGTAATAGAAATTTCTGATGCTCCTAAACGTTGGACTCGGTCTGTTAGGAAAGAACTACAAAAATATATGAAGGACACACAATCTAAGGGGGTAAGAAGGGAATATAATTATGATTTATATGCTGAGGGGGATGTGAAGAGCGAGGAAGAAGCTATAAAGAAGAGAAGGGGCTGAATTGTTTTTTTAAAATCAAAATAAGAGATTATTGGTAAAAAAAAACGTAAAATTGGCAAAAGATGTATCTGGTAATTAGAGGGTAAAACATACAGAAACATATTTAGAAAATGAAAGTGAGGCAAACAACTTGCATGAGGTGTCTTAATAGCAGACACACGATCAAGCAACTACTATAGTATTAGTTTATAGATTTAGCTAATTAGATATCTGATGGACAACAATCTAATACATATACTATAATATTTAAGAGCATTGATGTGTAAGCTAGGAATAAAAATCATTCATAGCATAAACAAGGAGAGCTATATAAAGTAATTAATTCTATTGATATCAAATCTGTTTCAAAATGTTATCAACTATTATTGAATATCTATTAAACTATAATGCTCTGAAAGTCACTCTTACTAATAAAGGAAACAAGAAAACAAAGATCTTCATAAAAGTGTTTTCTACTTCAGAAAAATAGATCATCTCAGAAACTCAAAAACCAAAAAACTCACAGACTAGCTAGAAGCTAAAGATGGCACTAGCAATATGCAACAAAGATTAGTAATAATTTCATGAAAGCCTAGATCAATGAACCATGAAAGCTACACTACAAGAATTTTCACTTTTACTAGCGGCCAAATATTGCTATTTAACAAATTCATAGCGTTAAGAAAAGCACTATATCATTGCACGCACCATAAGTCCGCCACTTTATATAACAGTTGTTTGGGATGCTAATTTAGTAGGCTATATTATAGCGGTTGGAAATATGTTATCATATTTATTATGATAGCGTTAATTTTTTTTTTAATGGCTTTAAATTAATATTTTAAATTTAATTTCAAATTTTTTATTTTTTTCAATTTTATATTTTTAATTTCAATAATCTATTCATAACCAAATCTTTATTGACATAAAGTTTCAATAAAGTTTTAGCATAAAAATTCAATGAAAGAAGAACAAAGTATCTTAAGACGAAAACAAAATATGAAGCAAGCTAAGCAAAATCAAATTCTTGATATGAGCGTGCTAAATCTAATCTCAACTTTGTAAGCAATGGGACATCAAAATACGACAACATCCTAACACCAACAAAATCTAAAACCAAAACTTAAGATTTTAAAAAGTAATCACGGAACAACTCAACCTGAAGTAAACAAAAACGAAAAGGACATAAAAAAACCTTTTTCATATATATAAGCAAGTTTTGTTTAATCAAACTGCTTGTAATGATACTTCAAAATTTAACAATTCAAAATCTAATAACACTCAAATGAAAACAGAATCAACTTATAATCAAAAAGATATAAAGATCTTACCTTGCAAGCAATCATAGTTCTCAGCCTCCTTATAAACAACGAAATTGTCACTGAAGAATAAAAGCACACACTTGGTGAGTGAGTTTTGACTAATATGAAGAAACTGAAAATCTTGATGGCTTTATAATATCTAAAAAAATTACCTCATTAAGATTCAAATCTCCGAGGATAATCTTCAGCACCCTCCACCTAGTAAACGTTGAGATTCTTCTACATCGAAGAACAAAAATCCTTAAATTAAGACAATATAGAGGCAAAACTAAGAACTTAAAGCTTGATAAAGGATCATGAATTGTTAGTGAGGAATAAACGCAAACATTTTGTGGAACTTTTCTTCCTCTCGTTTGGTTAATCTCATAACCCAGCTGAGAAATCCTTCTTGCATAGATTTTAATAAACCTACAAAATCAGCTAACCCAGACACAAAATTCCCCTTAATACTTCAAAATCCAATCACAAAAGGAGAGAAAAATATAAGGTTTTGTTGGATCTCGAGGCCATGGGGGAGGAGATTCTTTGAAGTGGAGGAAGAATCTGAGATGTTAGAGACAGCGGAGAAAGAGGAGATTTAGCCGATGGCTGGAGTGTGTGAATCCGAGTAAATGACGCACAATCTTTGATTTGGAGGAGTGCTTGCATCATGATTATGGTGACAAAATTCAAAGATCTGAAGTGGGATTGTTGTGCCAGGATTAGTGAGAACATAGACAAAGAACTTGACTAGGTCACTGGATTTGAGAGGGTTTGTGTTGTGGTGTTTCTCGTTGAAGATGAGACTATCTGTTGAAAGGAGGACATGAGACTATGTGTTTTTGGGTGTTGTGTTTAGGTCAACTATTTTTTTCTATTATTATATTCGTTTAATTTGGGCTGACACAGGCCTGGCCCACTACATGAAGCGATGGATTCGGGCATCAAAATATATGGGTATATTTTACAATTTTTTTAAAGGCTTATTATATATATTAAACATCTAAGCATTTTTATATATTCATTTTTATTAGGCTTTTCTTAATTTCTTTTACCATTTGTTGTGGACTATAAAATTTTAAAATAATTAAACATTTTGTACTGAAATTTTTTAAAATAAAACCTTAAACTACTTGCATTAAAGAAATCCTAAAATCGATAATTGAAGATTGAAGATTGAAGATTGAAGATCGAAGGATTTCATAAATGAAGGTATATACATAGTAACTCTAAACTTTGATCAAAATTTTGAAACTTTTGCTTTCACTACTCCCAATATATTATTAGTCATTAACAATCTTTGGTGTAAAGTCATAAAAGGCATAAAAGTTTTGTTTATAATTTTCTGTAGCCTATAGAATCGAACATCGAAGGAATAACATAATAATAATTAGGTACTTGGGCTGTTGGATTTTTTAGCTTTTACTTAAATAGAATTGAAATTTCATTTAGATTGTTTTACTTGTTAATTTTGATTCGTAACCCGTGAAAGAAATTTGAATGTATTCATACATGTTTCATGTTTGATTTAATTTTGTGTATAACTTTTTTTTTTCTTTTTGTAACAAAAAATGGCATAATCTCGAGATAAAAAAGCAATAAATCATCTGAAGCTAAGAAAAGCAAACCATCTGGAATAATAAGAAGTCAAGCATAAGGATTACAAAGTAGAAAGGAAAATGATAAACATGATGCATTCATAAAGTCTCAAGCTAATTCTCTTTTAAGGTATGTAAATGGAGTTGAACAACCAAAAAATTATAATTTCAGTGAACTAATTAGCACTCAAAGAAACTAAGATGAAGATGAAGATATCAATGATATTGGTCGGAATAATGTTGAGCATGAGAAATCAAGTGAACATTAAGAAACTCATCAAGATGAGTTTGGAAAAGAGAGGGACAAGAGCAAGGAGAAAAGAGAACATATGTCTGATAATTCTGATCTTGGAAATTGGGGAAATATTAATATGAAATCGAGAGATTTATTGGTAAAATATGGTCTTAAACTAAGTTTTTCAAGCGATTATCGATTTCCTAAAGATGCTTGAAAATATTGGTGAGCCGAATAATGGGAATTTTCTTGCTATTATTGAGATGATTCAGAGTTTGATACAGGCATGAGGGAACATGTCAGGCGAATTGAGAAAAAAAGAAATTTCTTCTCATTACCTTAGTCACTAGATTCAGAATGAGTTGATTGAGATGGTTGCAAAACAGATCAAAGTGATGATCATAAAGAAGATTCATGATTCCAAATATTTCTATACAACGTCAACCAATATTGAAAAATTACACGTGTTATTTTTTATTGTGAAGGATAATTCAGGAAAATGACTTTTCTCTTCTCTCAAAGATGCATTAGCTGATCTAGTTTAAGTATCGATGAAACAAGGTAATCTAAATTACCTCTTTATTTAGTCCCGTGTTGCCTATAAAAATGTCTCGGCTTTGTTATAGTCTCTTCTAACAATAAGTCTAAATAAAAAACAGATTTGATGGTGGTACATGAATAAGAAGTTATGTCCCTTGTTGTCTTTCAAAGTCGGTTCGGTTTTATTGAAAAATGGGTAAATAAAATGAAATGAGGTCATCTTAATTACCTCTTTAACAGCCGCATGTTGCATATTCAAATGCCTCTCCTTGGTTTAAGACTCTTTTTATGATGAGTTTATGTATAATATTGGTGCATACAAAAACCAGTCCCGTATTACTTATACAAATGTCTCGGTTCGTTTCAGACTCTTATAACAATTAGTCTCTCAATCATAAACAAAATTGTTGTGGTGGTGCATGAAGGAGATATTATGTCCCGTATTGACCATAAAAATGCCTCGACTCGGTTTTAGACTCTTCTCATGATGAGATTTTGGATAACAAATGGGTAGATGAAATGAGGTAATCTCAGTTACCTCTTTAACAGTCCCGTGTTGACCATACAAATGCCTTGGCTTGGTTTTAGGCTCTTCTAATGATGAGTCTCTAAATCGGAAACAGATTGATGGTGGTGCAAGAATGAGAAATTATGTCCCATGTTGCCTTTTCAAATGCCTCGGCTTAGTTTTAGACTCTTCTCATGATGAGTATTTTTGATATGAATTGGGTAGATGAAATGAGGTAATCTCAACTACCTCTTTAACAGTCTGTTGAATCAAGGATTCACACAATGAATTTATTAAGGAAAGGAGAACATATTAAAACAGATTTTAGAAGAATTACTTTGACCTAGAAATGAATGATTTAGGGTTTGCTCAAGAACAAATGAAGAACTAGGGTTTTTTGGTATTAAGGCTCGATGCCATGAAAATGAAGGCATCTTCTTTATTTATACAAAGGATCTAGGGTTACAATAAATGCTCCCATTCCTTAGATTTACAAAGAATATTGTCATAAATATTTAATTAGGGTTTTCGAAACCCTAATGATATGAGGTCGTTCATTCCATTTTAGGAATGAACGCACATCCGCATTAAACACCAAACCGAGATTCCCCAATTTATTGGTTTACTTCGATTTCGTCTTGGTTTAGGCCGGTATGTCGTTGGTGCTAATTCCTACACCAACAATAAGTCCCCCCCCCCCAAGTTCGATGGGTCGAATGTTCATTCGAATTATGAAACTTTTAATTATGCCTGACCTAAGTTAAGAGGAAACGAATCAAATCTGATCCAAATCGTCGCCTATCTCGGAGATGTTGCCACGTGTCATTTGTTTACAAGCGGCGTATAGGTCGGAAGTCGAAGCGTCGCCTAGGTTATCATTACCTTTTCGTAGGTGTGTCGCCCATCCGCTTCTATAAATACTCACCCATTGCCTTTCATTTTCCTCATTTCCGCTTTTCTGCTCAAAAGGTAAAATTTTGCTCTGCCCTCTCTCCTATTTTTCTTTAATTTATCGCCGCCGACCTTTCAATTCTTCGGTCATACTTTGACTTTTCCGACAATGGCGAGGTCGCATTCTTCATCCGATAGTGAGATCGCACCTTTAGTTCGCTCCAGTACTCGTTTGACTCGTCTTTCTAGTAACGAAGCTTCGTCATCTCGCCCCGTTCAGGCCTCTATTTCCGTGCTGACCGAAATTCCGATCCGAGATGGTAGGAACAACGCCACCGCCGCTGCTGAGACCGGCCAATCTTCTAATCATGTTCGTCTAGAGGGCGAGGATCGTTTTGCTGCCCCGGGAGTTTACTTGAACGACATCCAGCCTACTCTTGACCACAGAGGTCGGATCGGTGGAATTCCGACCTCGAGTACTATTAAGAGCGTCAACGAGATGCTCCGCGTCTGTGGTTTGGGAAGATCCGGGGTCAGTATCTTGATTCCGCATAAGACCCAACGTCCGTGGACTCCTCCAAAGGGATACATCTGCTTGTACGAGATGTACTTCACTCGTTGCCGCCTGTGGTTTCCTCTTCCCGAGCTCTTATCTCAATACGCTCATCACCGTAAGCTGGCTATCTCTCAGCTCGCTCCTGCCAGTATCTGTAATATTGTCGGGATATTGACTCTGGCGTCTGAAGTTGGCACGAGGGTTCCCGTTGCGTGCTTCGAGGAGATGACGGTACTGAAGAAATCCAAGGTCACCGGCAATTTTACCGTGACTATGAGGGAAAAACTGAACGTTATCCCCGGAACCCGAGTCAGCAATTTCAAAGGCTGGGAGAAACGCTTCTTTTACGTCCGAGCTGACTACCTCTTAGTCGAGAATCATTTTGTCGGGTTACGCCGGCGGTGGAATAGCGATCTGGGTACTAACCTGCATTAACTTTAATCTCTTATATCGTTCTGACCTGACTCCTCCTCTTTTTTGCAGATCGCTTTCGAGGTTTTTCCACATTTCCCCCGGAGTATTCCAGCATTGTGAAGAGCCTGTTTATCAAAGAGAATCGATGGGGAGGATTCCGAGGACGTACCCAAACTTTGTCAGAAGAGTTGGCCAAGTCATCCGGCACCTCGGTAACCGGCCTCCAGGAGCGGGATACGGAGCTCGCAGCTCCAACTACGACGGCCACAGAGGTCGCCCTCGTTGAATCACCGACCAAAGGAGAGGTCGCCCCTACAGGACCTGCGATTGTAGACCTGGAAGGGAGCGGAAGTGACGGGGTTGAGGTCCCCGTACAAGAGTTTGCGGCATCCGAAGGAGATGCAGCTGGGAGAAAGAACAAGAAAAAGAAAGTCAACAAAGGTAAAGGCGTAGCTCTTGATTCTGGCAACCAAGGCAGTCGTAAGAGGTCGGCCGAAGAAGCCGGTCTGGAGGACGGCGACTTATTCCGAGTAACTCGGAAGGATCCGAAGACGAACAAATTTTGCTTCGACTACTTTGGAGAGAGCTTCGTCGCCGGTGACCACTATGCATCAGCGGAATTATGCCGAAATCTGAAATTTTCTTCGGAGGACTATCTAAACTACGCCCGATCTTCTCTGCAGGTTTGTTTGCTACTTCGTGATACTCGACTTTTGCGTTTCGTGCGTACTTTAACGTCGGTTTCCTCATTTCTTTTGTTTTAGTCGATCGCCTACGGTAATGCTCTTTTCTTCAAGTATGAGAAGAGGATGAAGTCGCACTCGAATACGAGTCATGCCTTCTTGATGATGGAGAAGTGCGCCAAAGAGGCTCAAGATAAAGTGGCAATGCTGCGGAAGAATGTAGAAGGCTTGGAAGAGCAATCCAAGGTTCGCGAGGGGGTCCTCGCTTCTTTGGAGGACACAATAGCCGATCTGCGGGCCAAGAACGCAGCCCTCGAGGCCGAGAAGGCGAAGATTGAAGGCGACCTCCTGTCCCTTCAAGAATTTTGTGACTCCGAATGCTTCGCTTAGACCGGCAGGCCGTGGTCGAGCGCACGAGGAAAAAGCCCCAGGATCGCCTAGATCGGGTGAAGGCATTTTTAGCTGAGCAAGAGGTCGCCGTTCGCCCGAAGGAAGACCTGCTGAACCAGGCTCTTGGGGTTGAGGCCACGATCTACAGGCTTGTCAAAGAGTGCCATGCTCAAATCCCCGAGGAGGAGATCGCCAAGATTAAGGCGAAGAAGGTCGAGTGTAAAGAGGTTGCAGACGCGCTCGATTATCTTGTCCTGGAGCCCACTAACCTGAACATGTCTCCGGACCAGCTTGGTTACGGTCTTCTTCGGCCTGAAGATCCTGCTCCAAGATCCATCCGAGACCCGCATGGATCGAATGCGGCATCCTTCCAAGCCGACCTCCGAGCTCCTGATGGCAGTGTCGACCCTCCTTCCGATCCGGGCAATCCTGAAGATGACGTAGATGTAACGCCCCCGGACCGTTTCCAAGGTCGGACGAGCCGAGAGACGACCCGGACGCGTTATTGAGGGCGTGGCCGGATACGAGCGACCGAGGTTCCCTCGGTGGAGTACGGGCAAGGCAGGATCCCCGAGTCGGATCGCAACCGAACCAGCCATCCCTCTTCGGCTGATCGCCGAGTCCGAGGCTTTGCAACCCCAATCTCGGACGACACGAACGAGGAGTTGTGCACTCCCAACGGCCCGGACAAAGCCGACGGGGGTGGAAATATATCAGCTCGAAAACGCCATGGTTTTTCCCCAAAAACTTCCTTTGATTACTTATAATAAAGTTTTACTAAACAAGTTTACCAAAGCGATTTAATCATGGATCCATCGAGAAAATTATACATAATAGATAAGTAATATTTTTGCAAAAACATGAAAAATATCCTATCTCCGGCTCCTAATGTTTTCTACGGTCTAGACTCCTTATAAGAATAAACCTGCAAAACAAAATGAGCTTTGAGTATTCTAGCAATAATCAGTGAGCCGGATACCCCCAAATCTATCATGCAATTTTCCCCTCCCCAAACCCCCAAACAAACAAGCAATAATCAGAGACAAGCAAGACAAGCAAGGCAAGCAAGGCAAGCAAGGCAAGCAAGACAACTATGACTCGACTAGCCTAAATCTAGACTCGACTTAGCCTAAATCTAGACTCGACTCAGCTTAAATTTAGACTCGCTAGACTCCTTCCTATCCTATCGATAATCTGATCCGTTCCTTCACTCTTTTTCCATACATCTCAATCGCTCGGGACGAAACCACGAAGGCATTCGGTCCGGAGGATACATCTGGTTGCATCGTCATGCAACATCTTGGGCTTGGCGCGAACTAGACACCAAGCAGCCTGGTCAAGACCTGAGAAACCACAAAGGTTACCTCTTCTTGACCCCATCACAACATCAAGGCAACAGATTATCGAACATAAGAATCAAATCTACCGATCTGAGACTAAGGACTCTCTAAAAGCAAGAAATTCTACTCGGAGAAGATCACTACTAGAAGAGACAACAACAGCAAGCAACCAAGCAATCCAAACAACCAACAACCAACAAGCAAGTGTGATCCTAGTCTAGGTGATAGTTCTCGGTGATTACTACGAAACTAGCCTAGCCGGATTATCATGTGGATTCATTTTAGTTGGTCATATTAGCAAGCACTATCTTGTAATTAAGCCGGATTGTTTAAGCATGCGGGTTCATTTTTGCAGAATTTAAAGCCTATCATGCGGGTTTTACAAAAAGAAAAGCAAGCAACACGCAATAGGTACGTACACAAGTCCGGAGACTTATGCAGCACCCCACACAATTTGTATCCAACTCACAGTGTTTTTATCGGCGTTTTCCTTCTTCTCTCACCGAGGCAGGCACGCGAGGGCTTCTATTTCTCAGATCTACTTCGGCAACCGACCTTACGATCTTCCGGTAACTAGTCTCCCGATCCTTCGGCAGCAACGATCGATCGGAGGGGCAAGTTTCTCGAGCGAAACTTTCAAGAGCGAGAGAGAAATTCTTTTAGAGTGAGAAACTTGTGTCGTTTGGGTTAAACACACAAATGACTCCTCACTGCCTCTATTTATAGGGTTTAGCTTCGGAAAAATAGTCAGCTTCGGAAATCGCATGCATTGGCCAGTTTTAGGTTCGGATTTCGGCAGCACAAGCCATCTCTGGCTGCCGGACACGTGGCAGACATGGAGAAGAAAAAGGATTCTGTCCGATTTCGTCCATTGCATCTTCTCCCATATCTTCGCAGATATTTTCTCCGGATTTTGTCTGGATTTTCTCTGGCTTTTCTTGTCAGAAAATGCCAAGTGTCAAAACTGTCGAGTGCAGATACACTGAATCTGGCAGGATCGGATTTTCTCGATCGGTCATCGACAGAAATGATGAAGTCTCGACACTCTTCGTTCCTTCTTCGTTTCTTTGGCAATCCGCTTCGATCACTCTTCATACTTAGCCATTTTATGGCTTTGGGACGAAACGCCTTGCTTTGATTTCGGTCCCAACTTCACACGGTCGGCAACGTACCTCTCCGGCTACGTTTCATCGCACATCTCTCGACCAACTGTTGTTCCCTTCAATTATGCCTCGATCGAACTTCGTTTTTACTTCTTCCAACTCTATCGGAGTTCTTTTCTCACCCGTTCATCGATGATTTTTCATCCGGTCACTAGGTCAGGGTGAGGGTCACTACATTCTCCCCTCCTTATAAGAATTCGTCCTCGAATTCAATCGCTGGCCTTCACTCTTTCGCTTGACGTCTTTAACTTCTTATACGCTCCTTCTTCTTGGGTCTTCGGGTCTTCGCAGTCACCTCCATTGATTTTCGACAATTCGCTTTTCGGCCTCCTTCGATTACTCCTTCTTCTTAAAGCCTTTGGTTGGTGTAGTTTTCCATTAACTTCCTAAACTTTTACTTGACTCGATCTCCACCACTTAGGTTTTGATCTTTTCTCTCGGCAATCATCGTGAAAACTTGGTTTTCTCCCTTGGTCTTCTTTCGGCTTCGACTTCCTTGAGATTTTACTTCTCCTTCATACTCGGCTTCAATGCTTTCTTCAGTCACTAAAGATTTTCCGACTGGTTTTTCCTTAGAATTCTCTAACTCGATTCTCCAATTGAATCTTGTTAGCTCTCGGCCATCATAGGTTGAATTCCCCTTTTTTTTGAAATTTCTCTCGATCGCTTATCGTTTCTTTTGCATTCGTCTCGGCTATCGACTTTTCGATTGATTCTCAGATCCTTTTTTTTTTTTTGGTCGTCGAGGTCTGGTTACCTCTTTTCCCTTTAGGCCATCTTTCATCACTTTGCCTCGCTGCCTATGCCCTCTTTGCCTCGGTGAGTCTTTACAACCTGTTATTAAACAACAACACAACATCCAGCACAGCCAACAACACTAGCAAGCAAGCACGCAAGCTTAGCAAGCTACACAGCAAATCCTAGAGGACAACTCTAAGACAAAGCAAAGACTCTACGAGGACTTGACAAAGACAATCCTAGCACGCAATCTAAGCACACAACCTAGCAAGCAATCTAAGCACACAACCTAGCAAGCAATCTAAGCACACAACCTAGCAAGCAAAACTTCTAGAGCTCCGACACTAGCCTATCAAGGGTAAGGAAACTTCTCCGAGAAAAGTTCTAAGGTTCAAGGCTCCTAGCATGCATCTACAAAAGAGAAGGTTTCGGGTTTCTTACTCGGATTTTGTTAAAGGAAAGGTTTGGCTAAGAAGGCTTGAAAGGAAAGCTCGAATAATCATAAGAATATTCAACGCTTTACAAGTACATCCGCTGTACAAGTTCAAGCTAACAAGGCTCCTAATTTACAGAATCTAGTCGACGAGACATAGATAAGAAAGCTACCCTTAGCCCAAACCTAACAAAAACTTACTACCCTTCCCTTACTAGTCGCGGAGACTTTTGCACTCTTCACAAGAGCATAAGCTCCTAAGTAGCAGAGGCTGCTCCGGTTGTGGGACAACGGGTTGGACTGGTGAGGTGGATGCAGCCGACGATGGTCCAGCTTCGGCGGTTGGCCCCCTAGCGGTTGGAAGTGGGCAAGTAAACGAATAATGCCCATATCCGTGGCAGTTAAAGCACATGACGTATGACGGCGTCACCGGAGTCAAAGCATCAAGTCTCGAACAGTTTACGGTCCGATGACCGATCGACCCACACGAACTGCAAGGAATGAAACCTGTCCGATGATTCCATGTAGAGTTCCTTACAGATTTTCGGGCGGATGCCCTCGTTCTTGGTCCTCCTCTCGCCGGTGACTCCACTAAGCGTGGGACACGGCATTCCCTCTCGTCAGTCAATCTCGGGCGTTTCCGGATGGGCTCTCCTTCAAGTCGGACTCTTGTCTCGACATGGTCTCCTTCGGCTACCATTTGGTCGACCAACTCCATCAAACGATCTCGGGGCTGATCTTCTCCAACTCTCCTTAGGCGGTACAACGAGGCTTCATTACTTAATTCTGCTTCTGACATCATCGGGTCGAACCTTGGAATTGGTTCTTCTTCTAGTTGCTCGAGCGCATCGACATTTAGGTCGGGCAATGCAACTTGGGTCTCGGCGGCTACTGGTTCACTTCGGTCGGATGGTCGGGTTCTCACTTCGATTGTCATCAAGGTCGGGTGGCTAGAACTGGCTGCGACAACTTATAGAATTCCCTTCACTTCTTCTTCTTCTTCGGGGGTAAGAGACTCAAATGACTCGGACGTCTCTTCCTTCTCTTCGCTGGATCGGCCTCCACTCGATCCTCCAATGCTTCCGTTGGCAACTTGGTCGTTCAACGTCTCGGGAATGGCTTCTTCTTCGATAGGGTCTACATCTTGGGCTGCTACTCGATCATTTCCCTCTAAGTTTGGCACTTGGAACATCCCCATCAAAACTTCATTCGATGTTCCGGCTGGTTCTCCCATTAATTCAGCCCACAAGGCTGCTGCTTCGGGGTCAATGTCCATGGCTGACAGGTCCATGAACTCGAGCAAGATGTGCTGAATCTGATCGGCAGCTTCAGCATCGTACTGGTCATATCCTTCCATCGGAACTGCTACAATTCTTCCTTGATCATCTAACATGATCTCAATCTCACTTGGTACTCTTTGGTTTACTTTGACTGACTGATCGTCTTGTTTAACTGGAACTTCAACCGGGGCTTCGAGATCTTCGGACGGATCCGTTTCCACCGATGACTCGACCTCTACTTTCACGAACGGGTTCGTGGCTTGAGTAACGCTAAATGAAGCGCTACTACTATCGGAATCTGCTGGCAACCATCCACACACATGACCGGATTCTCCATGAATCGGCCTTCGTCCCTCATACCCCTTTCCACAAACAGACGCACCTGTAGACATCTGCACCGGACAAACAAGTAAGCTCCTATACTTGGTCTAAAAACAGAAAACTCTATATGTAAAACTAGTAGACAAACGACCGGAGCTAAAAATGTTTTTGCGACTCGTTTACTCGATAAAACAGTTTTGAAAAGCACGTTTCAAAATCGTTTTGCAACCATACTCTGATACCACCGGTTGTAACGCCGCCGGACCGTTTCTAAGGCCGGACGAGCAGAGAGACGACCCGGACGCGTTACTGAGGGCGTGGCCGGATACGAGCGACCGAGGTTCCCGCGGTGGAGTACGTGTCACGTCCCCGAATCGTCCTATGGCCGGACAAGCCACGGACAACCCGGAGACGCTACTTTGAAAGTACTCACCAACGATCCGGCCGAGGTTCGAGAACAAATCAAGAACCTTAGCCAGTCCTTCGGTGAGACCTTCCCACTTGGAATATCACTTACGCTTGCCAACCCTTATGATATCCAAGTGTTGAGCCGACTCGGACTAAGTCATTATCAGACATCACTCGTTGTTTTAAAAGAAACCCGAATTATTCATTACGATAAAGTATATTTTACAAAGTCACTGAAATACTTTTAAAAGAGTTTTGACGGCCGAGGCCTAGACCCCAAATACTTAAACTTAAAACATATTCAACATACTTGTTTTACAAAAGGCACAAAAACTACTCCGGGTTCCTAAGTCCAACACGCCACAACTCCTTTCCACTAGGGTTTCCTGCAAAACAAATGGGTTCATAAGTAATCTAATATTACTTAGTGAGCTCAGGAGTCCCTGCAAACACATTAGAGAAACCCCACCCTTTCCCCAAACAAAACACCCGACAAGCAATCAGAGTATGCAAGCGAAAAGCAGCAAACCAACAACGACACGACTCGATAGTTTTAATCAAGTTTTACATCCAAATTTTTAGGGCCCGGATATGCTTCCTTCCACATCACTACCATCATGAACACCCAAGCCATAGCCACGAAGGCATACGACCGGAACATCATTTTAAGCTACACCGTCGTGTAGACAGCTTCGGCCAAGGTAGCGAACCAAGTCTCTCCAAAGCTCATCGTACTAGCGTGAGACTCCAGAAAATGGAAGTGAACCGGGAATCACGCTAGAACGGAACCAGCGAAGGACAACATATCCAAGTCTTGAGATGCTTATGGTTTGGACAACTGTCACGAAAACCACATAACAAGACCTTAAAGATTTCATCGATAACTTGGGATCTATGGTTTAATTGCACACATAGAAGCAAGTATCGGAACACATCACTCGCGTATTAGATCCCAGTGAGCGGATCTGCGATCACAAACACGATCTAATACCGAGATCCACAATCATGATGCATAAATAATTTCAAGAAAACGATCCACCGGATACTAGATCTAGCCTTTCGGTCCCAGATCTAGATCGGTAAATATGCTTCCTGAACTCACAAATCTGTTTTGACGACAGCTCGACTCGGACTTCTCTCTTCCGGTGAAACTGGCGTCGGCGTCTCGGTGATATCGGTCTCCGGCGATGAACCCTCGGTGACGGACAGCAATTCCTTCCTTCGCTCGGACGGAGATATTTTATTTTCGAGAATTTTGGGTGAACAGCCCAAATGAAGACTCGAAGGCTCTATTTATAGAGTCTAGCTTTGGAAAAATAGCCAGCTTCGGAAATCGCATGTATTGGCCAGTTTTAGGTTCGGATGTGGCAGAACAAGCCATCTCTGGCTGCCGGACACGTGGCAGTCATGGAGAAGAAAAAGGATTTTTGTCCGATTTTGTCCATTGCATCTTCCCCCCAAATCTTTGGTCGAGATTTTCCTCAGATTTTCTCTGTTTATCTTGTCGGATTTTGCCAAGTGACAAAGCTGTCGAGTGTAGATACACTGAATCTGGCAGGATCGGATTTTCTTCGACCGGCCATCGACAGGAATGATGAAGTCTCGACATTCTTCGATCCTTCTTCGTTTCTTTGGCAATCCGCTTCGATCAATCTTCATACTTAGCCATTTTATAGCTTTGGGACGTAATGTCTTGCTTTGATTTCGGTCCAAACTTCACACGGTTGGTAACGTACCTCTCCGGCTACGTTTCATCGCACATCTCTCGACCAACTGTCGTTCCCTTCGATTATGCCTCGATCGAACTTCGTTTTTACTCCTTCCAACTATATCGGAGTTCTTCTCTTACCCGTTCATCGATGATTTATCATCCGGTCACTAGGTCAGGGTGAGGGTCACTACATTCTCCCCCCCTTATTAGAATTCGTCCCGAATTCCATCTGGATTCGACGGACCAGCTTCGTCCTCATTCTCGTCCGCGAAGAATTGTGGATACTTCATTCGGAACTTTTATTCATCTTCCCATGTTGTGACCTTGCGATTCTGTTTCCCCCAAAATACTTGGATTTGCGGAATACTCCTCTTCTTTAGTTTCCACGTTCGACGCTCTCCAACTCCCAGTGGTCCTTCTGGGTAAGTGAGGTTTTGCTCTAATCCCTCGATCGGCTCAGGTATGATGGCATTCGGGTCTGAATGTGTTTCCAGAGTTGAGATACATGGAAGACCTTATGCATTCGCGTTTCCGGTATGATCAGTCGATAGGCCACTTCCCCCACTCTTTGTTCGATTTGATATGGACCTATGTATCTCACTGCTAGCTTTCCAATCTTCCCGAATCGATCCTTTCCCTTTTGGGCTGTGACTTTGAGATAGACCTAGTCGCCTATATTGAACTCTACTTCCCGTCTTTTTCGATCTACGTACTTCTTTTGTCGATCTTGAGCTTTCCTCATATTCTCTCGGGTGAGCTGAATCTTCTCCGTAGTTTCATCGATCAGCTGGTTGTTGAACTTCGTCCTCTCTCCTACCTTTGTCCAGCAAAGGGGCGTCCGACACGGCCTGCCATACATTGCTTCGAATGGGGACATGCCGATGCTGGAGTGGTAACTATTGTTGTATGAAAACTCAACCAAGGGCAGATTGTCTTCCCAATCTCCAGACCAATCCAAGGCGCATAGTCGGATCATATCTTCAATTGTTCGGATGGTGCGTTCAGTCTGCCCATCCGTCTCCGGGTGAAATGATGTGCTCATAAACACGTTCGTTCCTAGTGCTCGCTGAAGGTCTTGCCAAAACAGCGATGCAAACTTGGGATCTCTATCGGACACAATGTTGGCGGGCACCCCGTGAAATTTTAGAATCACATCTATATACTTTTCGGCCAAGTCGGGGGATTGGTCGGTACTTTTCACGGATACTAAGTGCGCCACCTTCGTCAATCGGTCTACCACTACCCATATCGCGTCATTGCTGCGCCCGGGCCTTGTCGGCATTCCGGTGATAAAATCCATCGAAATGGACTCCCATTTCTATGTAGGAATTGGCAAATTCCTTAGTAATCCCGCCGGTACTTGATGCTCCACTTTGACTCTTTGGCATGAGTCACATTGACTGACCCACTTCGCAACTGCCCTCTTCATTCTCGGCCAGTGGTAGTATCTCTTGATATCTTGATACATTTTTGTGCTCCCCGGATGAATGCTCAGCGCTGAGGTGTCCTTCTCGATCGGGCACGGTGATTCTTCCGTTTAGCGGTAAGGTTCCATCGTCGGCTAGGTGATAACCACTAGCATTTGGGCCATCCAAACTCCTTAGCTCCTCCACAATCTTTCTCAAGTTCTCATCCTTCGGTTGTTCTTCACGAATCCGGTGAAGTAGCCCGGCTTGGGTTACTGCTTGTAAACCCAATGGTTCAGTTGATTCTCCTTCTAAGGCTAATAACCTCACCTTCCTCAGTTCTCCCGCTAGGTACTCCACTTCTTTCTCGGCATCTACTTATGCTTTCCGGCGACTCAATGCGTCGGCTACTACGTTAGCCTTGCCCGGATGGTATTGAATCCTTAAATCGTAATCGGCTACGAATTCCATCCATATTCGTTGTCGTAGGTTGAGATCCGGCTGAGTGAACAAGTACTTAAGACTTTGATGATTCGTAATTACTTGAACAGACTCACCATATAGATAAGATCTCCATATCCTTAACGCGAAGACCACGGCAGCCATCTCGAGGTCGTGCGTTGGGTAATTCTCTTCGTGCTTCCTTAATTGCCTTGAGGCATAGGCGATCACTTTGTCTTCCTGCATTAGTACGCATCCCAATCCTACTCTTGATGCATCCGTAAATACTGAATACGGGTGGTTTGGGCTCGGTAGTGCCAATACCGGAGCTGATGTCAATGCATCCTTCAATTTAGTGAATGCCTCTTCTACGTCTTTACTCCATATGAATGGTACTCCTTTACCGGTAAGTCGAGTCAAGGGTTTAGCTATTGACGAGAACCCTTTTACGAACTTCCGATAATATCCGGCCAAGCCTAGGAAACTTCTGACTTCCGTTATGGTTGTTGGCCTTGGCCAATCACAGATAGCAGCAACTTTTTCCGGATCGGCTGATACTCCCTTCTCCGAAACTCGATGGCCGAGGAATCCGATTTCCTTTTGCCAAAACTTACACTTGCTAAACTTGGCGAATAGCCGATGGTCTCTCAAGCGTTGTAAGACCTTCCTCAAGTGTTCTCGATGTTCTTCGGCACTCCTCGAATATACGAGGATATCGTCGATAAAAATTATAACGAAAATTATAAGTAGTCGTGGAATACCTCGTTCATTAATCTCATGAAGGCTGCTGGGGCGTTGGTGAGTCCGAAGGGCATAACGACGAACTCAAACTGTCCATAACGCGTCCTGAAGGCAGTCTTCATCACATCCGGCTCCGAGATTGAAATCTGGTGATACCCGGAGGCAAGATCGATCTTTGAGAACCAGCTTGCTCCTTGTAGCTGATCCGACAACTCGTCTATGCGTGGCAATGGGTACTTGTCCTTTACGGTTATGTTATTGATGCCTCGGTAATCAATACATATCCGCATACTTCCATCCTTTTCCTTGACGAAAAGCACCGGAGCTCCCCATGGCGATGAACTTGATCAGATGAATCCTTTCTCAAGTAAATCTTCGAGTTGTTTCTTTAACTCCGAAAGCTCAGCAGAGGCCATTCTGTAGGCGGTTTTCGCAATTGGTGCCGCACCGGGCTCGAGATTAATCGTAAAAGGATGATTTCTCGGCAGAGGCAATCTATAATTCCCCAATCCGATTTTAACTTTACCGAGAGGAAACTCGGCAGAAAATCTCCGATCAGAACACTATTCATTTTCCGGCTAAAATTCCGACAAGTCATTTTTAAGCATAAAACAGAATTCTTTCATTAATAACAAAGGTTCTAGTACAACGGTAAGTTTGCTATAGGCTATTACATCGTTTTAATACTAGACCAACATGAAACTACCCAAATAACCACCATCCTTCCCTTCTTGCCTTAATCTCGCGAACTGGTTCCGACATTTCCATTACCCTTGCCTGCATCACAAAGGAGGCGTAAGCAACGAATTGCTTAGTGAGAGCGGTCGTCCCGTCTCACCAGGCCATAACCAAACAATCACATTCAATACATAGAACAAACAGTCAATATTGCAAGTCACGAACAGAAACTTGTCAAGCATAACTATCCGGATTTATCGAGCAATCTTGCCGCAACCGAACAAGCCTCATCGAGCGCATTGCCGATCTAGATTCTCGAGTAAACCGAACCAGTCATCGAGACTAAGCAACAGATAATCGATACATGACAAGCAAACATTCGGAATAAACCAGACAAACAAAGACTAAG